AAATATGGCTTTAAGCCCAATAAGTTACCAGGTCTTTTGAGAAATGGGCCCCAGGTCTTAAACCCAAAAACAAAAAGAAAGAAAAATATGGAGAAGCTTGGACAGTTGAGGGCTTTATAACTTAATTCTGAATATTATAAAATGTACTTTGCATTACATTAATACATAATTACCATTTGGAAGTAGACAACAAGCACGTTGACATAATCATAATCATCAAGCTTGAGTACAGCTCAACAGACTGTGAGGTAAGCATCCAGCTACAAAAACAATAAAAATTCACCTGACTTTTTCATTCCCTTAAGGTTCCATTTGGGACAAGTGAAGTAATCAGTCATAATTCCATGTTCTGTTGTTTGCTTTTCCTTTTGTTTTTCAAATGTTTTCCTTGGCATTTTACCCATGATTTCTCAAGCTGATGCTTAGCCACGACTTTAAACAAACCTAACTGAGCATAAGCTGATGAAAAACATGGTGTCTAGCCTCTGTTGACTGTTCCTACTTCAGGAAATGAATAGTTTTACTACATATCAAACTATTCTATCAATGTATTAGGGCATGAAAATGTCAAAGAATTAAGAGATAAATTTATGCTGATAATAATTATGGTCAATAATTACTGGTACCTTTTTACACCCTAACAAGTGAGAGCTTCTTTCATTGGCGATCATTTGTGTTATTCTAATGACCTTAATGTTTAATTCTGAGAAGATACCATGGGGAAAAATAAGATGGCAGTCAGTCTTAAACAAAGGGGCTTCCAAAATCGTTTTTACCTCCTAACCTTCCAAGTGTTTTCCCTCTCACAAACCATTAAGTAGCTCTGCAAATTGTTTGTCATCTTTTTGTCTCATTATTTCTGTTTATTCGAAGAGGGTGAAGTATTCTCTCCAAAATAATAGTTGCTAAAGCATTATAGCCAGATTGACAATTTTCAAAATTCCACTCATCAAGAACTGGTTTTAACAGGAAAAGATCTCTAACAGTTATCAAACTTATTCCAATTCCAATTACTCTTGGGTTCCCATTATTAGTTGTAATTAGAAAAAAGAAATTAAAATTACAAAGTCTATATCATAGAAGTCTACATCAGGAATGTTGTTTTTTAATTCAATTTAATGAACGAGCATTATGATATGGATATTTCTGATAAGTTGTTGTTTTGTAAAGATCGTAGTGTGGATTATAATTTAAGGAAGAATGATTCTCTTGACCTGGTCAGCATGCATAGTAGTACAAATATTTTTAAACAAAACTTTTTTATATCCATATTATTAATGAATGGAATAGTCTTCCTACTAATATTAAGGATTCTGTCAGTATTTCTAGCCTTAAACATAAAGTTACTTCATTTTTTTGGTAATACTTAGAATTTCACATTTAATTCAATTTAATATTTTTATATTAAATTTTATACTCTGATAATTGTTTCTTAATATCATAGATATATTTTGTTAGCTTACTCGGAGCATCCCTCGTATGGTGTCTAGGACGCTTTTGGATGCTGCCTCTCCAGCATCATTATTATTATTTGCTATTTATTTATTTATTATTTAATATTATTTATTTATTTATTTATTTATTCAGTAATTTAGATTTGGAGAAACTGTAATAAATAGTCGTAAATTCAAAAAGATGAACATACCACTTCCAACAATGGTGGTACATTTAATTTCAAATTACATGTTATGCAAATTTGTACAAAATGCATCAAAATAGAAGGAGGAAGGCTTACCTTTTCTCCCAGATGGTAAACCGTTCATTCCGTGTATCGCATTCTTCATGCGCGTGGTCGATTCCTCGTCGTAAAAACGAACTGATGTATTTGATCAAACAGCTATCTAAAGTTGTGACCGTGTCATCGTCGGTTTGTAGACTTTGAAGCCCTCTTCTTTCACCTTGAGTATTCTTCCACACATTTCCTCTTAGTTTGTGAGGTCTACAAAGGTGTATTTTGATCAAGGATGGAGCGAAAGGAAGGAAAACCACTTGGATAATTTTGGCGTCCGCACACACACAGATGCCATTTTGATTATTACGTTGACCTATTCATGTACTCAGGCAAAAATGTCCACCTCTGTCCCACCGTCTTGTTATATGAACACGTTGAGAAGACAATGGCACGAGCTGGCGGACAAAGTCGAACCCTGTAGGGGAGGCAGGGGAGAACACGTTTATTGCAAAGATTAATTGATTAGAATGGAGTGAGTGAGTATAATTGAGGGAATTTTGCGTCAATTACCTACACCCTAGCTTGCCTAAACCTCATCATATGACTTTCGTCAAACTATGAGGAACCGTGAGGTAAATACAAAAATCTACCTCGGTCGAGAGGGACTAAGATGGAATGATGGACACTACATGACATGTTATACTGTTTAGAGAGATAAAGCGGGCAGCGATTTATCGATTCTCATTTTCACTTTAGCTTGTCAAAGCTGTTTTTTCCTTCCCTTCTTCATATTTTGTGTCTCATGTTGTCCTGTATTACTCACCATTATGGGAAGTCGACCTGTGAACTCT